AAAATTTTGCAGACGTAAAGTTGGATGTCTGGATTAAATAATAGGGTACTTTTTATCCCGGAATTTTTATATTGTCGAGGAAAAACAAAAATATTGGTATAGATGGCGCTGTGTGTATTGGTATATATGTCACATAGGCTACTTTTTATCCTTTTGTGACGCGACCGAAGCTGCGGGTAAAAGCTAGTACTAAATAAATTATTATGTTTTCGGCTTACTCACGTTGTAAGAGGACACAGAGGCTAATATTCGCGAAATGCTGCTCATGAATATGAGCCTCTAGCATGGCTTGAAACTAGTCGAGTTCCTCGTCCAATTACAACGTGATTAAGCAGAAAACATAATAATTTATATATAGTTATCGGTGCATCGGTGCTCGGTTATGTTTGTCGGTTTTGCATGCACAGTTATAACTATCATGCAAACCCGAGCGTGTATGACCTCCTTTAGGGCTCGTACAGAAAATTGCAATGCGACATCGCATCGCATCGCAAGAACTTGCGAATTGATTCGCATCGCGCATCAAAATCTTATCTTTTTAAAAAATCTTCTTTGTTTCTTTTTCCTGTATCTCCTAAGCAATAACAGAAGTGCACACTTCTTTTTACGATCCTTGCCACAACTTAGTTTCCAATTTAAAATACGTTTAGTACAGTTGACGGTCGTCGAAGGAATGGTCACGCTGGGAGACGCCTTGTCGCATAAAATCGCATCGTAATTTTTTGCGAACTCGCATCGCCTGACATTGCAGTTTTGTGTACAAGCCCTAATTAGTCCGTAATGCCGCGGAGAACCTATCGGGTAACCGGGGCTCCGGCTCGACGTGCAGGAGAAGGAACGGGGTGGTTTTTAGTCAGTAAGAGTCTGACACTCCCTTCCGCCTCACCCAGGCGTAAAAATAGTCCGTAATCCGCGGTCTCATTTCAATTACTTTAATTGTATAGGCGTATGCCCGTAGAGGAGCACATAGTCCTACGGTGAACCTTCTTGGTCTGTTCATGATCATCGCCTTGTTTTACAGTTTAGTTTTAAGCGTGGGAGAGCCATGCTTCGGCACGAATAGGCCGGCTCGACCGGAATGATACCACGGCGTCACAGAAGACCGACGTGAAACAACGCTTACGATATGTTTCGTCGTGTGAGTGAGGTTACCGGAGGCTCAATTACCCCCCCCCCATCCCCCTTCACAATCCCTAAATCCCCAACAATCCTCAAATTCCTTATCTCAAAAGGCTGGTAACGCACTTGTAACGCCTCTGATGTTCCAGGTGTCCATGTCCAACGCTGATTGCTTACCATCAGGTGATCCGTCAACTCGTTTACCGGCTTCTCCCATAAAAAAACAACCAATAAAACGTAATGATATGAGTATCAAATAGTTCTATTTAAACACGAATACCTAACGTAATAAAAAGCAACAGTAAATATGATAATAGTATAAAGTGTTCATATAAATAAACTCTTACAATTATCTCATATTGCGTTTTGAGGAATCCCCTTTGCCGTATGATAACGCTGTGACCTCAACTGACCCCAGTACAATTAATCAAGACTTCAAAGTTATCGTAATCGAGTTAGTCAATAAAGTATGTCATAATACATAACATGACATCACGCCTTTTATCCCCAAAGGGGTAAGCAGAGGTGCACATTACGGCACTTAATGCCACTGTACAATGTAACACCCACTTTTCACTATTTATGTTATGAGTCCCATGTAATGGGGAATGGGCTTATTGCATATACCATGTCTGTCATAACAATTAAAATAAATGCATTTTGTAGTGGATTTTTGTGAGATTGACCTGCTTAAGACTATTATATAAGACAAGAGTCCTGTGTCAATAATGATCTATTGGACCTTTTGGTGTTAAACAATAGTAACCTCGCTGGCCTCGACTAACTCGAGCTTACGGCTCGAAGAGCCATCAGATCACTACGGATGGGGCTGATGCCGATACGGACCCGCGGATGACTTAACGGGTTGCCGGGGCTCCGCGCTCCGGCTCGAAGTGCAGGAGTAGAAACGGAGTGGTTTTTAGTAAGTAAGAGTCTGACACTCAATCTCGCCTCACCGGGGCGGGAGCAGTCATTGGATGATTTTCCCCACTCAAAAAAAAGTGTCAATAATGATCTACTGGACTTTTTGATATTAAACAATAGTAAGCCTCGGCTAACGGCTAAAAAAAATTATCTCGCGATTAGCTGAACCGATTTTGATGCGGTTTTTAGAAAATATAATTAACTAGCTACTTCTGCGCGGTTTCACACGCTCTGCTCAGCTTTTATTGGTTGTAGCATGATGTTTTATAGCCTATAGACATCCTCGATAAATGCGCTATCCAACACAAAAAGAATTATTCAAATCAGACTTGTAGTTATGGAGATTAGAGTGTTCAAACAAACAAACAAAAAAACAAACTCTTCCGCTTTATATAATAGTATAAGATTAACCGACTTCAATAGAAGAGGAAGTTGAAGTCGGTTTTATTAAATGTAGAGTATTAGACAATTTTCTCCCATTTAAAAAGTTTATAAGACAATTATAGGCTGTCACTATTGACGTTGATACATCAATGAAGACTCGGCTTAGTTTAGGACCCTGTATCATCAGTAACTAAACTTGAAATTAAATACTATTGTACTGCGTTGTGTTTCGTCATGTGAGTGAGGTTACCGGAGCCCAAATTACCACACATCAACAGCCTATAAGTGGCCACTACTGACCAAAGACCTCTTCTCACAGGGAGAGGGTTTGAGCATTAATCACCACGCTTGCTCAATGCGGGTTGGCGATTTCAAACTTATAATTAGAAATTTTAAGCCCAGGTTTCCTCACCATGTTTTCCTTCACCGTTTGTCAGTAGTATTTAGATAATCTTAGAAAGTACATATAACTCGGGGAAGTCACATTAGTACTTACCGTTATTGGGTTGCGTTATTGGGTGGGAAGCAAGCATCTTAAACCATCGAGCCACCACGGCAGTAGGGTAGTGTCCTACATTTTATTTTAATGTCCGTCTGGTAGATTATTTTAAAACATTAGACATGTATTTTTTCTTTTCTTACAAAATTAAATCGACGATATATTGATTTGAAATATCGTGTGACGTCACTTTTTACATTTTATACATTTTATAGGGTAGTGAGACGTAACGACCTTCCACTCGTAAACTTAACTCCGTTTTATCTAATTATTGTTTTCTAATACGACAACATAAAAAATATTTTTTTTATGGGACAAGCCCGCCACCAGCTCCCAAAACCGCTGCAACTCCTGTAAGCCAGGATCTACAGTAGATACAACCACGAAAACACCGGAACACTGAAGTCCGTCGCGTCCCAGGGACATGAATAACTGTCTTGGTTCTCGCAACGAAGTGAATCAGAAGATGTTATAAGAGGATACGAAAAAAAACGATAGTTTCCACTTTCCTCGGTGCACTGCAGGAGACAGATCTGGGTGAAGCCCAGTCTCCAAGCACCACGGAAATTTGACTAAAATCTAAGTGGGTCCTATGTGTGAGCTAATACTTGCTTCCAATAATAGGTATGGCAAAAGCGCCAAAAATATATGTGTAATATTTTTTCATTATCTAACTGACGTACGAATTACATTTTATTTTTCATACACTGTCTACTATACTATTAACAGTTCTTACTAATATTAAACAAAGAAAGCAGGGATAATAAAGAAACATACTTAGGTACAATAAATCAGTATTTATTTCTTAATAATATTTACAAGCTTAATTCAAATTTTAAGTGCAATACAATACACAACGTTTCTAATAATAATATATGGCAATAATACTTCAATTGTATAAACTATAAATGCATCGAACTGAAATGAGCCTTAAATCTAATTATTAAAATAAAGTTGACATTCGAATAATGTCTTTCGTTTATACAACACTAGCTGTTGCCCGCGACTTCGTCCGCGTAGATTAATGACTTCTGACAGAATTAACCAGAATCAATTCAGTGCCCAAGTAAGATTTACCTATTTAGAAATGATTTATCGTAGTTTCAATAAATAAATAATCCCGCAGGGATCTTACCAGTACAGTGCCCGATCACGTAAGGTTTGAGTAATAAAAACTATTCTATCGACTATTGTTGTACCGAATCTCTCTAGAATAAGTTCAGTGGTTAAGAGTTAGAGAGTCCTGGGGCATTGACGCATAGTTCCCGTTCTCGTGAGACATCTGTGAAAAAACTATCATACGTTACTCAGGTCCTAAATCATTGTTTTACCGAATGTAATTCAAAAAGATTCAATGATTCTAAATTCAACGGCTAAGAAGATTTATACAAACTCTCATTCCCTATTTTATCCCCTTAGGGGTGGAATTTATCAAAATCCTTTCTAAAGAGAAACCTATGTATGTATACTTTGTATACTTTATGCATGCAAAGTCTCAGCCCGATCAATTTAAAACTGGCAAAGTATCATACAAACTTTCACCCCCTATTTTACCCACTTTGGGGTGAGAATGTTCAAAAACCTTTCTAAAGGGACGTTTACGTCATAATATCCATCTGCACGCCGAATTTCAACCCGGTCGGTGTAAAACTGACAAAGCTTCATACAAACGTTCATCCCCTATTTTACCCCCTTAGGGGTGGAAATTATCAAAATCCTTTCTTAGCGGATGCCTATGTGATAACATCTATCTGCATGTCAAATTTCAATCCGATCGATTTAAAACTGACAAAGTCTCATACAAACTTTCATCCCCTATTTTACTCCCTTGGGGGTGGAAATTATCAAAATCCTTTCAAAGCGGATGCTTACGTCATAACATCTATCTGCATGCCAAATTACAACCCGATCGGTTTAAAACTGACAAAGTCTCATACAAACTTTCATCCCCTTTTTTACCCCCTTGGGGGTGGAAACTATCAAAATCCTTTCTTAGCGAATGCCTACGTCATAACATCTATCTGTATGCCAAATTTTAGCCCAATCTGTCCAGCGGTTTGGGCTGTGCGTTGATAGATCACTATGTCAGTCAGTCAATCAGTCAGGCAGTCAGTCAATCACCTTTGAATTTTATATATATAGATTAAGACTTCTGAACACCATCATAGCAATTTCAACAGTAGCTTGATTAAAATAAAGTATTTAATCATTTGGCATGCAACGAGTAAGGATAAATTTAGTCGCGGATGAACAGAAAGAAAGAATTCGACCATAGAATAGACTGAATGATGAAAGAAGACGATGAAGTGACTACCTTAAGTCAAGGGGGAAAACGACAAAATTCGGTTGATAACTCATAAAACAGATCTTTAACTGATTTTCAACTGTATTACAAAAGCATAACCTTTAAAATCTAATAAAGATACTGATTTAGCAACCAATTCTTGTCTAGAAGACACAAAGAAAATGAGTTTGATTAGAAGAATTTTCTCAAAGTAAAGCCAGTGGACGGCTCCCATCTTGAATTCGGCATAAAGGGTGATACAGACTTGCTCAAGCCAGCGTTGAAATCCAGTGATGTGCCTTTGTTTCTGAATAAGTTGACTATCCCATTGGCTGAGTAGTCTGTTCTTTGCAAAAATGGCGTGTGAGCGACACCCAAAGATCCACCGACTTTGTTCCTGTAATAATATCGAGATTTGAGAATCTGGTAGTGGTTTGGAGATCAAGAGTGTTCACAAACATAATATTAGTCCCTACTTATAAAAAAAAACTGATTTTAATGTAAATGCTTAATATATCGTGTCCCAAATAATTGAAAACAACCTAAATGTGAGCTTACAGAGATGCAAAGACAATTTTAAGTTCTGACATATTTTATACCTCGTCTAATTTCATATTTAAATTACATTTCAAAAACATTTTCTTCTGACTATTTAGACCTTAATAACAGTGATGTAAGAGGCCTTTCTCAACACTGTACTCAGATCGATTATTAACTCTTTATAAGCAATAGGGTACTACTGGCTGGAACAAAAGAAAAAGAAAGTGAAAGTGCTATAATTCTACTTTTTTATGGGATGAGCCATTAAACAAGCAGTCGGATCACCTGATAGTAAGTAATCGGCGTCGCCCGGACACCTAAAACATCAGAGGCGTTACAAGGGCGTTACCGGACTTTGGAAATTGGGAATTTGAGGACTGTGGGAGATTTGGAGTTTGAGGAGATTGAGGAGACTGGGGAGGGAGGTAATCGGGCCTCCGGTATGGTAACCTCACTCAGACGATGAAACACAACGCGAGTTGTTTCACGTCAGTGTTTTGTGAGGCCGTGGTGTCACTCCGGTCGAGCTGGCCCATTTGTGCCGAAGAATGGTTCTCCCACACTGAAAACCTACCATAGTAGGTTTATCTGTAGAGTACCATAGTAATTTTTTCTTAATCCAGGTTAAGATTGGGTAGTAAAGCTACTTACTTGAACATATAATCCAGTCCACCGCCTACAGTATTGAAGTTAGGCACTTGTGGAATGGTTGGCATATTCCTTGAGAGAAAGGCATTAGCTGTAAGGTCATGGTTCTGATTGTGGAAGAGATTCGCATGACCCGCAGCTGTGATCCTGTTGCCGAAGTTAGGGATTCGAGTGTTGGTTAGTGAGAGTCCATGTCCGGCCCTGGAATTAGTAAAGGTAATTAGATAGGTGATTTTTGGATACTGAAGATTTTTGATCTGCTGATATTAAAAGCTAAAGAGGTACCTATATATCAAAGTTATAGACCTCCTTGAGTAGGTGCTTGACATGTAATTACTACTATCGAGATAGTGATTACAGCTTTATTTTTTTTTAAAGTTCCGCCACACTAAGATTTTCACACGATTTACACACGAGAGAGACAGACCCGGAACAACAATTTGTGGATCACACAAAGAATTGTTCCGTGCGGGAATCTAACAGACTAATATTAGCCAGTCATGTCAGTTTGACTGCATCACCAGATGTGTAGGAGTTGCTTTATATTTGAATAAAGTACCTAATCTAATTGAAATAAGTCTTATATTCAGTTACTCACGCATTATCCATGGCCAGACCATATGTTGCGGATGACAGATGCCTGTTGGCATCGAAGTTTGCTCCTCCGATAGCGCTGAACACATTATTGTTGGTTGAAGCGAACGGCAACCTTGCGTTAAAACCTGGAAAATAGCAAATTATGTTTAGACTAAGTTAGACTGATTCATTCATGATGAGGTTTAGTTTTAACCGACTTCAAAATTAATACTTCTCCGACCCGGGAATCGAACCCGAGACCTGTTGCAGCAGTCGCACTTGCGACCACTCGGCCTATGAGGCAGTCAGCATTACTAAGTTTTAAAAAAAATCTCAGTAGTAGCACGGAGTCTGGAAATATGCCCGGTATATGGCAATAGGCTCACCCTCTATTAGAACAAGGGACTCATAACATAAGTAGTGATGAAAAGTGGGTATTACATTGTACAGTGGCATTAAGTGACGTAAATGTGCACCTCTGCCTACCCCTTCGGGGATAAAAGGCGTGAATTAATGTTATGTCCAAATTAAAAAAGGAGGTACCTACCTACTCAGTTTGTATCTCTACATAAATACAAGTCGAACTGAGAGAGTATGTATGTATGTTTGTGCTGTTTTTAGAAAATTAGATGTTACACTTAGGGGTACCTACCGACCTAAAAAAAGAGGGGGGTTGAAGTCGAATTTTTTAAACGTAGTTATTGGAGTATTTCACTTGTTACTGGCGCAAAACCATGTTTCTTGGGTAGAGGATCTTCAAGAGAACAAAACATCGAACTTCTTTTCCGTACATTGAAGAGGCCTATGTTCCATAGTGGACGGGAATATGCTAGCGATGACAAAGAAGGGAGTACCAAGGCCCACCACTGGTGCTACAATGAACAATAACTTACCAGAAGTCTTATCAGAATTGAAGAAAGTGCTTCCATGTAGCTGTCTAGTTTGCCTATGATGGCTTGGCTCATGAAGATACTGATAGAATTCTCCCATGTCTAGATCAGGACTTGGGACTGTTTCCCACGCTGCGGCGCCCACCACCACGACAGTAAGGAGCAGAGCTGAGTACATGATTACTGGGTTCCTACACAACGAATGATGATTTCAATGAAGTTTCTGGGACTTTTATATTGCAAAGGAGTTGATAGTGTTGTGTCTCGGGCTCGGGACTTCACTGAGATAATTTTTGCGGTAACATATTATCAATGTTTATTATTGTTAGGTATATGTGTTTATGTTGGTAATATAATTAATTATTTTGCGGTCATAGTAAACTAGATTGGTGCTGCGGTCTCGTTTGTTTGATAATTTAAGTTCTTCCCAGGGTTAACTGTGGAAGAGCCATGCTTCGGTACCAATGGGCCGGCTCGACCGGAGTGATACCACGACCTCACAGAATACCGATGTGAAACATCGCTTTCGTTATGTTATCCCCAACAATCGTCATCCTAATCCCGAAAAGGCTGGTAACGCACTTGTAACGCCTCCGGTTACTTAACATCGGTCACCTGATGGAACGTCTGCTCGTTTACCGGGTTATTCCATAAAAAAGGGGTCGGTCTTACCTACCAAATTACATAGAATGAACGTTCAAAATATAAGTATATGTCGCAGAATCAACAAAGATGCACAACTATCGAGTATCGTTATTTTAGAACAACGCCATCTGTTATCATTTGTCGGAAACGTCAAGCAGTGTGCTTGGGTGATGGTCGGTACGGGGCGTGGCATGTTGGCATTGGAAAGGCGTCACATCCCCTATACTTATTATACTCTTTGGGCGTCACTTTTGAGTTGGACACGAGGGTGAGCGGTTGTTCTGCCAGCCCGTACCGAACTTACCGCGTTTTCCGAAGTACCCCCAATGGGTGCATTTTCTCCGACATATAATTATACACCACCTTCGCATTAACAATTTTAAATCAAGAACTAAATGCTTTAGTAACTTATTATACTTATTTATTTATTTAGTCTTTTATGTACACTATTTGATTATGTAAGGTGAAAATGTAAGGCGAACTTAATACCACATGGCATTCTCTACCAGTTAACCTTAGGGTTTGAGTATGGGCTCGCTGCCATCGCAGCGGTAAGTCCCCTCTTTGAGGAGTGGCTTGAGAGACGCTACGGCGTCCTCACCTACCGCCTGACGCAGGTCCTCACCGGACATGGAAGTTTCGGGAGGTACCTGTGTCTGATGGGGCGGGAGGAAACGCCCGGGTGTCATCACTGCGAGGACCGCCCTGAGGACACGGTGGAACACACGGTGGGAGAATGCCCTTCGTGGGCTGAGCACCGCCGTGTCCTCAGGGAAGTGATCGGCGATGGCGACCTCTCGCGTCCGGGCCTAGTGCAGGCCATGATGCGGAGCGAGGGGGATTGGGATGCCGTCTCCTCCTTTTGCGAAGCAGTCATGCTAGCTAAGGAGGAGGCGGGACGCGTGAGGCAGCGAAGCGCTGCCTCCTCGCAACCCAGCCATCGCGAAGGACACACCGGGCGTCGGGGATCGCGGGACGATCTCCGGCCACCGTAAGCGCGGGCCTGCGGACGGCGAGCATGGGTGGCTCCCCGTCCGACCAGAAACAGACCCGAGCGTACGGCGCGTCGCGTTCCGCGCGCGCCTCAAAGAGCCATCAGACCACCACAGATGGGGCCCAATAGGGCCGATGCCGATTCGGAGTCGCGGAGAACCTAACGGGTAACCGGGGCTCCGGCTCGACGTGCAGGAGAAGGAACGGGGTGGTTTTTAGTCAGTAAGAGTCTGACACTCCCTCCCGCCTCACCCAGGCGGGGGCAGTCATTCGATGATTTTCCCCCCTTAAAAAAAAAAAAAAAAAAAGGGTTTGAGTAGAAAATCTGCGAAGTTATTGCCGATTTGATCTTCTATAATGACGAACTGTTAAGCATTTTATATCTCAAACATTTAAATGAATGCAGTAGTACCTACTCAAAGTGAATACAGACAATAGCATAGGTTTTAAAGTGTAACAGACAAACACACAGAGTTAATTTCTCATTTATAGATAACTAGCGACCCGCCCCAGCTTCGCACGTATTATACATATAAAACTTCCTTAAGAATCATACTATCTATTAAAAAAAACCGCATCAAAATCCATTGCGTAGTTTTAAAGATCTAAGCATACATAGGGACAGACAGACGGCAGATAGCGATTATTGTTTTATACTATGTAGTGATTTTACATAAGGAATTCTATTTATGTAATATTATTATGATTGCTTTTGAAGTAAAGCTATTTATAGTGCATACTGTGTATTTACATTTGGATTTTCTCCTGTGTCGTGGGTGCGTTTACAAACATACAAGTTCACATACACATGACACCCAGACTCGGAACAACAATGTGTTGATCATACAAAGAGTTGTTCCGTGCGGGAATCGAACCCGTCACACGTTGCACGGCAGCCGGTTGCCCAGCCACCGCGCCAAACGAACAGTCAATATTACAAATGGACTCTCTGTTGATTATATTTTAATAGTTTTAATACTGGATGAATAACAACGATTAAGTAGTATTTTATGTCCTAACACTAGGGTACTGTAACTAACTTTCAAATCGAAAGACAAATACGAACTCGACTGCGGTCCCTTATGTCATTATTTGTGATAATAATCTCGATTAATGACGGGCAAAAATACGATTGAGCTCATTTTTAAACGACTTCAAAAAAAGGAGGAGGACCCATAACAAAATATGAAGTAGTTAATGGTTACAGCTGGTATGATCCATAATAAAGTTGTAAACAGCTTAATAATGGTAGATATCTATTACGGTTTTAATGAATAATTTTGTGTAAAACTTGTGGCACCGACTTCTAACCTATCAGTGGGTGTGTAAGCTATAAGTATCTACGTATGACCAATAATAGTTATATTTTCCTTTTTAGTTTTTACTTTTCGTTTGTCTTTAGTTTTCGAAGTCGGTTTTTTTAAACACAGTTCTTTAATAAAAGTTTGAATTGACAGTTACAGAAGAGCCTAGGTGTTGACTGAATACAGTAACTCGTGACTCAACAGCCAATCATCCAGATATTACACTAATAGTGCAACAAAGCGTGCAAATAAAACTACGGGGAAGTACTACTCCTTTTTGCGTTAAAACAAAAGTAAATAAGTCCTACAGGAAAATTATAAACTTAATTGTTTTTATTGAATTAACTAATTGTGGTTAACCTCATTGACATGTGGTAACTAGAAGCGTTTGTTAAAATAAACTTAACATACATTACTATCACTTGTAATTCTTGAAGGCGCGAAGTTAATATGTTAGACCTCTTTTGTTTATAGCCGTGTGGTTGAGTAGAATGTAAAGGTGTGTCCACATCTGACAAATGTGCCGCGGTAATAGTTTAGTGTTCAACTCATACAAGGTTTGTACATATATAAATAATAATTTTAAATATACGTGCGCAGCTCGCGAGCTACTCATTCGCTAAGCATCCGCCAGATGTGGACGCACCCTTAGTTATTCACCATTTCTATTCTTCTTTGGGGTGTTGTATTATTAAATGCATTTCGTTATTTTAAACGTTGCCACACACTAGGATTTTGTCCTATGTCATAGGTGTGTTAACAAACATACAATTTCCCATACACATGACATCATCCCAGAAACAAGAACATGTGGATCACACAAAGAGCGTGCGCGAATCGAATTAGCTACACGTTGTACGGCAGCCTATTGCCCAACCACAGCACTATCCTTGCAGTCAAACTGGACAGCAGCACACCATAAGCTGTGGATAGTGATAGGTCGATGATGATGACGGCAGATGCAATCTCAGATGAACTCGCCTGCTAAGAGTGAAGATGTGCACCTCTATCTATTCACTCGGGGATAAGAAGGTTTGATATCATTTAACTGCCTCGTTGGCCGAGTGATCGCAAGTGCGACTGCCGGGCAAGGGGTCTCGGGATCGATTCCCGGGTGGGGCAAAGTACATTTGGGTTTTAAAAAAAATCTCAGTGGTAGCACGAAAGTCTGGAATTGTGTCCGGTATATGGTAATAGGACCCCCTATTACATGGGACTCATAACAAAAATAGTGAAAAGTGGGTGTTACATTGTCCAGTGACATTAAGTGCCGTAATGTGCACCTTTGCCTACCCCTTCGGGGATAAAAGGCGTGATGTTATGTTATGTCATGTAATATTTGATAAGAAATTTTAATAATAATAAGTTTATAGTGAGTAATTAAGTTAATAATGATTAGATTAAGTACATAATATATTAGATGATTATTTAGTTATTATTTGTAAGTTAAATTGCGGCGCCCTAACAGGGTGATGTACTGTACTAGTAGTATATTACCGCTATGTATATACCTACATTTTGCAATAAATAAATAAAAAAAATTTATAACATTACTATTTTATCTAAAAATAAACCTCAACATGTTAATAATTACTCATATCAACGAGCAAAACAAAACAAAACTTTGATAAAAACAAAAGAAGATGGCACCGCTGCTTTATCTCAGTGAAGTCCCGCGCCCGAGACACAATACTATCAACTCCTTTGCAATATAAAAGTCCCAGAAACTTCATTGAAATCATCATTTGTTGTGTAGGAACCCAGTAATCATGTACTCAGCTCTGCTCCTTACTGTCGTGGTGGTGGGCGCTGCAGCGTGGGAAACAGTCCCAAGTCCTGAACAGTATCTAGACGTGGGAGATTTCTACCAGTATCTTCATGAGCCGAATCATCATAGGCAAACTAGACAGCTACATGGAAATACTTTTTTCAATTCTGATGGGACTTCAGGTAAGATTTCGCTTTATTTTTTTTTTGTATGGCATAAACCGGTACACGAGCTGTCGGATCACCCGAAGGTAAGCAATCGGGGCCGCCCATGGACATCTGAAACACCGAGGCGTTACAAGTGCGTTACCGGCCTTATGTGAATTGGGAATTTGAGGATTGTGGAGGATTCGGAGATTGGGGAGACTGGGGAGGGGGAGGGGGATAATCAGGCCTCCGGTAACCTCACTCGCACAACGAAAAGATAGATGAGACAGATTTGGCTTCTGGCCGACTTTGACCTTAATATGTGTAGAACAGTTGTTTACCGTTACCGTAGTAGTTTTTGGAAATCTTTAATATTGATACCTATTTAGTTTAAGTTTTTTATTCTTTGTAAAAGTTTTGCTCTATTCCGATTGTTCGATTAGATTTAAGTGAAATTAGGGAAAGGCTTTGATAACGACATTCTCTGTTGAGCGCAAAGAGCGGTTGATTCAGATTAATCATTCCAACTGCAGGCTACCTAACTAAGTCTAAGTAATCATCGTACCACAAGACAATCGGCGAAGCGTCACCGATTCATGGTAGATGTTCCGCCTACACACACGAAGCGCTTTGCATGAAGCTTCCTTGTGCGTACTGCTAAGAAGTGAAATTCTTAGCCAGAGTCTGTATTGTCTGAATGGTATAACCTGGGTGTCTTCAAGGCCCGAGTGAATAGGGTCGACGTGCTCCAGCGTAGACCGCGTCATCGCTTACCACTAGACCAGATAGTGGTCCAAGGTCAGCTCATCAAATATATATATATATATATATATATATATATATAAAATGTTCTCTTTCCAGGTTTCGGATTATCAGCGCCATTCGGAACCAGCCAGAAGAATACGTTCAGTGCTATCGGAGGAGCTAACTTCGATGCTGCCAGTCGTCTACAATCTGCTTCCTATGGGCTCGCCATGAATAATGCGTAAGTGTTTGTAATTTGGGAATTTTTTTTAAGTGTGGGAGAGCCATGCTTCGGCAAGAATGGGCCGGCTCGACCGGAGTGATATCACGGCCTCACAGAAAACCGACGTGAAACAACGCTTGCGTTGTGTTTCGTCGCGTGAGTGAGGTTACCGGAGGCCCAATTGCCCCCCTCCCTAGTCCCCGTCTCCCGAATCCGCGAATCCTCCACAATCCTCAAATTCCCAATTCCCAAAAGGCCGGTAACGCACTTGTAACGCCTTGGTGTTTCGAGTGTCCATGGGCGACGCCCATTGCTTACTATCAGGTGATTCGTCTGCTCGTTTACCGAGTTATGGTATAAAAAAATCTTTTTTATTATTTCAAATTAAGACATTTGAGACTGGTGAGTAGAAAACTTTTGTTACTACTGCATAATACCGAAGAGTAGCATAGGTGCTACTCTTCCTGCGGGTAAAAATCACAAGTTAGAAGCTGGGTTGGACCGGTGCCGTTAATGTGTGCTATGACTATATGGGACACGTTTAACAGACACTGGTTAGCAGTGGTCTTTGAATTCTCTTCCTTGTGGAAAACTGGTTTGTACCAGTCGAGAGGTCGGTAATATAGCAGTATTTTGTTTATGATATAACACTAAGCAGATCAAGGTTAAAGCTACGAAACATTTAATATCACTTTACTGACTAAACATCTTCAATTTTCAAAAGAGCATTTATTCTAACAAGCTTTACTCATCACACTATCTATTAAATCTTCATTGTTCAAAAGAATATATCTCGATTAAAAAAAATTGTTGCCCTACGATTTTCTCCTGTGTCGTGGGTGCGTTTACAAACATATAAGTTTACGTACACAACAACTTGTGGATCACTCGAAGAGTTGTTCCGAGGTATCGAATCCGGTTCACTTTCAGAGGTCGTATGCTCGGTTGAGCAAACTGTGTGTAGTGGTTATCACTCCAACAGTGCATTGAATTTAACCTACTATATTTTATTATTCCAGCAACGGTCATGGACTCTCCGTAACGAATACGCACATCCCAAACTTCGGCAATCAATTCAAAGCTGCCGGATATGCGAATCTGTTCCGCAATCAGAATCATGATGTATCAGTGAACGCTTACTTCGCCAAGAACAGGCCTCAGTTACCTCAAATTCCTAATTACAATACTGTCGGGGCTGGAGTGGACTATATGTTCAAGTAAGTATTCTTATTTTTAGCCATGAATGGTCCTAGTGTTCCTATATATTTTGAATACTAACTTTATCATATTCTTTTTTCTGCCTTTATCCGAAGTTACTTTGTGTTGATAGAAAACGTAACATAATATATCACCACGTCTTTTATACTTAATGCCACTGTTCCATGTAACACCCACTTCTCACTATTTATGTTAGTTCCATGTAATAGGGGTTCAGCCATATACCACAATTCCAGTATTCGTGCCACTACAGAGATTTAACTCGTTAAGTACCGTCATTATAGACACAATTATAGAACAATAGGTTGCGGTCACCGGTGACCGCTTGGTGTTTGACAGTTTAAAAAAAACCCAGTAGTACTCCTTTTGTGTCTTCTTTTTCCATTCTCCCTTATAAGATCTCGTGCACCACAAACAAAATCACTGTTTCTTTCATACTCTATTCTTCTTTCATTTGGCAGATCTCTTCTATTATAATTAGACAAATATCTTTTACATTCATCCCTGACCTCTTTTATCATTCCACGTTGTCCAGTAGCAGTAGTCTTCTTTCACCGGTTATATTACTAACTACAAAACTTTGGTATGTAGGTATAGATAGTATTATATTGTATGTATTGTTTTAATTATTATTGTACACTAGACGACCCCCTTTCTTCCAACTCCTGATTACTGGCTCCAGCCAAAGGTTGTCTGGAAGAAATCGCATTCTGCGATAAGACCGCCCACTGTACACATTATTTTTATAAATCATTATGTTTTCGGCTTACTCACGTAATCATTTGACGAGGAACTCGACTAGTTTCAAGCCATGCTAGAGGCTCATATTTATGAGCAGTATTTCGCGAGTTCCTCGTCAAATTATTACGTGAGTAAGCCGAAAACATAATAATTTCTTTAGTATGTCTCACGAAAGTTACAATACAAACATTATTTTTATGTTTATTTTTCTTTGTATGTTTTTATGGTATAGGTACAATAAAGTGTGTAAATTTAAATTACCATGCTTAATGTTCTTAACACAAAAGTTAACAAATAATTATCTCTACTTCACAGGAACAAAGTCGGAGGATCAGTAGGTATAGCTCATACGCCATACTTTGATAAAACAGATTACTCGCTCAACGGTAATGTCAACTTGTTCAGAAACAAAGGTTCATCACTGGACTTCAACGCTGGTTTGAGCAAGTCTGTATCGCCCTTTATGCCGAAATCAAGTTGGCAGCCGTCTACTGGATTTACATTTAGGAAATTCTTTTAATTGAATTTCTTTAGATGATAAGGACCTATTTCATAATGTCTGATGAAGTTCATGTCACAGCAACACGCCTTTTATCCCCGAAGGGGTAGAGAGAGGTGCATATTTCGGCACTTAATGCCACTGTACAATGTAACGCCCACTTTACACTACTTATGTTATGAGTCCCATGTAATAGAGGGTGAGCTTATTGCCATATACCGGGCACATTTCCAGACACCTTGCTACTACTGAGATTTTTTTTAAAAACCTAATAAAACTATGCCCGACCCGGGAATCAAACCCGAAACCTCTTGTCCGGCTCGCTCTTGCGACCAATCGGCCAACGAGGCAGTCTAAGCTCTTCGTGTGAGCTCATCTGACACATTTTATATGGAAATTGTGTCAAACAATGTGTTGGTTAGACTAACTGTAACTTAATCAGTCAATGTGAAAAAGACTCTGGATGTAGTAGAAATAGATTCAAAATTTGATCGTTCGTAAAAGACTGGCAGCATTGCCACCTTGTGAAGTATTATGGCCAAATATATTTATATTAATGTATTAAAAAGTAAAATTGTGTGCATTTGTAAATACTAGATTTAATTTAATAAGTAAATTAAATATAAATTAAATTAATTAAACAAATTAAACATTGAGTCTTAATTAAATCCTTCCTAACATCAAAATTCCAATAATATGTAATTTGGCAGTGCCAAGAATCTGACCTCAGATTTGGATCACTCAACACGAATTTTTCACTGGTCAGTTTTGTGATTTTGTTCGTTCGCTTCATATTACATGGAGTCCCATGGAAATCAGTTCCAAGATCAATAGATATCAGACCAACAAATACAGGAAGAAAAAAAGATGTAAACAAGGAATAAAAAGCATTTTTTTTATGGCATAAGCCAGTAAACGAGCTGTCGGATCACCAGGTAAGCAATCGGTGTCGCCCATGGATACCTGGAACACAAGAAGCGTTACAGGTGCGTTACCGGCCTTTTGGGGATTAGGAGTTTGAGGATCGTTGGGGATTCAGGAATTGGGGAGATTGGAGAAGGGGAGGGTAATTGCGCCTCCGGTAACCTTACTCACACGACAAAACACAACGCAAGTGTTGCTTCACGTCGGTTTTCTGTTAGGTTTGCCAAGCATAAGTATCATAAGTGAGCAAAGTAAATTTTATACAATTTGAGAATTTAACCCTGTTTATCTGTATCGTATAACTTGACCAACTAGCCAGTCCATTTAACAACCATACGATAACCTTCGGCGAGATGGTAGCCAAACGTCACCCTATCAAATATACATTAAAAAATCTCCTAAAAGTCTATAATCTCAAAACAGAATACAATTTGTATCGAGCACCTCTTTACTTTGATGCCTTCAAATACCGTATTTCTCGAATAAACATTGTCTTCAAATATTTTGTTGAATAAATCTTTTGTTTCGAACCCAATGGGCCGAGACTGCAATCATAACAGACGGTTGACAATATACAACGATATATAGAAACTAGATACACCATTGACACGGATATTTTATATGGGTCAGAGGGACAAACACTAGACAGATTACCTGATGGCTTTTTTATGGGATAAGCCGGTACCTAAACGAGCAGACGGATCACCTGATGCAAGTGCAAGTGCAAGTGGCGCCGACCATGGACACCTGGAACACCAAACGCGTTACAAGTGCGTTACCGAAGTTTGGGATTAGGAATTTGAGGGTTGTTGGGTATTTAGGGATTGGAGTAGGGAGGAGGGTATTTGGGTTTCCGGTACTCTTCACTCACACGAGGAAACACAACGCAAGCGTTGTTTCACGTCAGTTTTCTGTTAGATTTGCCAATGGACACTTGTAACACCAGAAAAGTTCATGTATGTTGCTAGCCTTTTCGGAAGAGGCTCTCTTCATCATTATAGTCAGTCAGAATACAACAAGTAAAAATGAATAAATGAAACTATCCCCATGCAGTGATTACCAGACCGACTTAAACCCGGCTATAGATGATTAGGTACCTATCTAAACTTCAATTCTATTTTGAAACTCAAAAAATAGACCGAATTATTTCAATTCATATACATCTTACTCAGGTTTATGTACTATTCTAGAAATATATCCCTAGGGTCCATCCTCATGTGCAACGTGCGCTATGCGGCAACGTCACGCAGCCAACTCAATCGTGAAATAGGTCCTGTCTCATCTAGTTACGAAACATCCATGTTAAAAGGAAACGAGCGAAGTTTTCGAAACATTATCAAGAGCTTTCAACGTCGGGAAATTGTCGTGAAAATTCGTACAGTTTGGAGCAATTCTCTTGCACTAGATAATAACTCGTGTAATACGAAGACAAAGGAGTTTTTGCTTGTAATATTGGTAACTAACTAAATAGTCTTTTGTAATTGTCTATTTTACTAACTTTTGCTGTTGATTTCATCTTATACGTTTTAAATTAACTAAAAATTACGAGATCATCACGTAAATATACTGAGAAACGCTCTATTAATTTAGAGGGCCTCTTCTTCCTCATGAGCTGCGTGCGCAGTCGCGGCCATGTCGCGCAGTCTACGATCCTTATTCAACGTTTTACTTTATTTAAACCTTTATTGCAATAATAATCTTTTCTATTATTAGATATCAACACACTACGAACTCTCCGTTCATTCAAATCATTCCTTTTTCCAAATTGTTTTCTAAAAACCTTTATAAGCGATCTTCTATATTGCTCAAAGGCCTTTAATGGCCAATATGTAGTTTTTACAACCAGTAGCTACAGTTATGAGTTTCTGCACCAGTAACAGAAAGAGAACATACTACGGCCACGAATTCGTAACTGTTCTGATGTGGGATGTCCGCAGGTGTCCAGAGTTAGCATTAATCACGGATCGCCTGATGGTGAGCATCAGGCAAAACGATTTTTTTTTTTAAAGTTGCCCTACACTAGAATTTTCTCCTGTGTCGTGGGTGCGTTTACAAACATACAAGCTCACATACACATGACGCCCAGACCCAGACCAACAATTTTTGGATCATATAAAGAGTTCCGTGTGGGAATCAAGTAAACGTTGCGCGGCTCCCGGTTGTCCAGCCACCGTGATAAGAATGACTTATGATATCATCTTATAAGACTACAAAAATACTACTACTAATATTAGGCCACAAGGTCCACCTACGGACTACTCACGAAATACATACCTAAATGCAAAAAATACTCGCACATTTTCACCGAAAACTTTTACCGAATTAAAAACCGAGGGTTACCGAAACGTAACGTATTGCCAGTGTTCGACGGAACTCTGGATTTTAAAAAAACATTTTCCCAGCACTAGTTTGAAAATATGACTGTTTCGTAAACATTATTACTGTCGATACTATATTAAAGTAAGCGAACCTTGATTTAGTGCTGTGAGACGGAAAAATGGGGACTATTCTGTTGAACAATCGACTATTATTAAATATTTTCCTGTGATTTTATCTATGTTTACAGTATTGTTTTTTCAACCTAGTTTGAGTTTGTAGGTTTCAAGACAATTAATAAGATTATTTAAAAAAATATGTAAAATAGTATTTGAATAATTGATTTTTTTGCTAGAACGCTGTATGAAAGATGGAATAGTGAAGTCAGTGTTCACCAGATCATAAACCATAAAGGTTGGTGAAAACTGGCAGCATAGAAGAAAAATAGACAATTCGATTAACTTCAGCAATTTAAAAAAAGAATAGAAAGAGGAGAAGATTGACAAAAATTAGCATGATCAAAAATCGATTTAGGTATTTCTCATTTCAACATAAGGAAAAAAGTAATATTATGACTTAATATTCATAAGAGGAATATAAAAAGTAAAAGAAAAAGGTACCTATAGTTGTTTCTTTTGTAATCATTTTGCTAAAAGAGGAAATCCTTTTACAAGGGATGTTACAAGTTGATTACTAGTCACCGATGTTGCTAGGGGCATTATCCTTAACCAGGCTTCGTCTATAGACTATATAAAAACAAAAATAATAAGATATTAAGTAAAGGTATTTTATTATCTTTTCTCTTCCTTAGTGACAGCTAAGAACTGCAAGTATGATTTCTATACTCAAAATAAGTATTAATTCTGTAAATTCTTCTATAGAAGGACCTTGACTGAAAAGGACAATGACTTTGGACATCATTCAACTGACAGTGGGCGGTATACCTAAGATGTAAAGGCTTCTAAAAGAGTATTTTACTGTCGTGTTGATAGATGTTGGTCTATGGCAGAGGCACGTCTATCCACGATAAAAAATCAAGAGGAATTGTATACCCTACCATACGACAATAAAATGCTCTTCTTCAAACCGCAATGCTGTTATGTATTTTAACCCTAAATATAAAACGATAGTCAAATTAGAATTTTTAGAAATATGAAAAAGGCGATTATAAGTTCGGTAACGCATTTATAGCTGCTCGGGCAGTGTCCGTGGGCCGCGATGATTGATTCTAAGAGCTTAAGTACGGTTTGTTTTGCTCGACCTCATCGTTCGCTTGATAAAGTTGACGTGTAAAAGTGCTGCCTTGTAGCCTATTTGCAGAAATAAATTTACTTGTTTCACTTGAAAGTATTCGAACGAGTACGCGTTCGACGCTCTGATTGGCCGATCAAAGTCAAAGCATTTATTTCAATTAAACCATAATTTGGTACTTTAGAAACGTCAACAAATACAAAATAAATAATAGTTTGTCAGTCAGACCGTCAGTGAAGCTAGGTGAAGCTAGGCGCACATTCCAAAATGTAGATTCGAATGGAGAAGAACGAGCAAGAAACGCTGGTTTCAATGAACCAACCAATCAGAGCGCTGATCGCGGTCACTTGGAGAGGTAGATAGCCAGTCAGTAGATACGTCGGCCATTGATACGTAGCTCGATTGCCTCCAACCTAATGAAAAAATCACACGATCGTTCAATACAAACATAGTATCAAGATTGAATTCACAAAAAACAAACGAATGAACGAAAACTCAGAACATTTTTTTACGAGCACTCTAAAAATATCGTTCGTAAAAATATTTCTCGCAATTTCGAGAATAGTGTTGTACGCGCGCATTTCATTCCCACTGCCATTAAACAGATTGAGGCTGAAAAACAAGGATCTAAAAACTTGTGTCCCCACGCTAAATATACGACTGCGGAT